AGAGAGAGAGAGAGAGAGAGAGAGTTTTCACTGGGAAGAAGGGTATCTGTTTCACCCGGCCGAGATGGACAAAAGCATAGTGGTGGCCGATTGGGGAGATGTTGTGTTGCTGAGAAATTCAGATCATCTGCGGCTCAGGCCGTCCCATGAATTTGCTGCCCTGCAGTGATTACTCAAAGTAAAAACATGGCCATGTCACTTTCTGTTACCGTCCTTCACGGGCTCTTTGCCCTTGCCATCTGCCCATCCGCAACCCACCCCCCTGCCCCAAAGCCCAAGCTCCTTAGTCTGGCACAAGAGGTTATTCACGACTTGGCCCTGGCATTTTTCTTGCTGTCCCCCTGCCCTGCCCTTTATGGTTACTTGCCGTTGCCCCAAGCATCATGCCGGTTCCTCTGTCTTCATTTACCTCTTTGAAAGAATCCCTATTTATAGTTGAGGTCACCTCGTCCAGGAAGACTTCTTTGACCTCTCCTAGACTGGGCTAGATGCCTCTTCTCTGTCTCCTCTTCTAAATTGTTAGCTCTCTTAGGACAGGGATTGTGATTTTGAAACAGGTCCCTAGCACCCAGCATGGGGCCTGCTGGATCTCTAGCCCTTGCCTGAGAGCCATCGGGGAACACAAGCCCTCTGTGGGCAGCCTCGTACCCAAGGGGGAGGAGAGGGGAAAGGGTTGGGCTAGCCTTTTAAATTCCCAACCACTGGACTCACTCCTGGGAAGGAGGGAGGGGGTGGAGAGGAGCCAGAAGGAAGCCATAGGAGTGACAAATAGCTCCCCCTTCCCCCAACAGGATCGACAGCTGCATCTGCTGTAGCATTTACACTACATGATTGCTGACTGAATTTCTTTCCTGTGGCTTGTTTACATTCTTTCTGTTTTTTTTTTTTTAATATTTATTTTTGAGAGAGAGAGAGAAAGAGAGAAGGAGAGTGAGATCATAAATGGGGGAGGGTCAGAGAGAGAGGGAGATAAAGAATCCCAAGCAGGCTCTGCACTGTCAGCACAGAGCCCGATGTGGGGCTCGATCCCATGAACCGTGAGATCATGACCTGAGCCGAGATCAAGAGTCAGATGCGAAACTGACTGAGCCACCCAGGTGCCCCATCTTTCTATTTTTTTTTTTTTTAAAGTAAAGATTCTTTTAAATAAAAGTAATATGAATATATGGGTTAGAAAATACTAATGGTATATGTGGATAGGCTCATCATGAAAAACAACAATCTTCTGTTCCAACTCCCTGTAAGCCCAGGGGCAATGACACTTTACTCTTTTAGTATTTCTCTTATAGTTTTCTTCAGGTCTCTAAAGTCACCTGCTTCAGAAGACTGAGCTATTTAAAGCACAAAGCTGACCATGTCACTGCCTGAAACTGACAGTTACTTTTCACAATAAGGTCAACCCCTTACCAGGGCCAGGCCTGCTCTCTCTGACCCTCAGCCATTCTTACCTGTGTCTTTCTTTTCTTTTCCTTCTCCTTGGGCAGCTTCAGTGTTTACACCTTTAGCGTGACCATGCCTTTGTGTTGTCCCCTCCTTTTGACTGTGGGCTAGACCTTAGCGGCTTGCTCTGAGGGAATAGAACTTGGCAAAAGTGATGAGATGTCCATCTTCATGGTTGGGTTACAAAAAGACTGGCTTCTGTCTTGCTTGCTCTCTGCTGCTCTCTTGCTCGCTTCTGTGGGAGGCCAGCTGCTGTGTCCTAATCTGCCCTGTGGGGAGGCCCATGTAGCAAGGAACCAAATAGCAACAGCAATGGCCCACAGGAACTGGATCCTGTCAACAACCTTGCAAGCGAGATTTGAAGTGCACCATTTCCCAGTCGAGCCTTCGAGTGAGATCGCAGCCCCGGATGACATATTAAGCACAGTCTGGTATGAGACCTTGTGAGTCAGATGATCCAGCTCTGCCCAGATTCGTGGCCTGAAGAAACTGTGAAATAATAAATTTTTGTTGTCCTAAGCTGAGAATATTTTTGGCATCATTTGTTACACAACAATAGGTAAGTGATGTAATCGTTATGCCATATTATTTTCTGTTCAGTTATTAAGCTTTTAACCCCCTCCTCTTAATTTTCCCTTATCCTACCCCTCAAAAACAATGTTAACAGACTGGATGTTCCTTCCATGCTTGTTTCTGTGCTCCTGTAATCATGCACAAAATATTAAGCGTGTGTGAGAGACTTACTAGGCCATTCCATTATTTATTCTTGAATAGCACTTTGTAGCCTCACTTCTTTAAAAACAATTTTTTTTTAACATTTATTTATTTTTGAGACAAAGAGAGACAGAGCATGAACGGGGGAGGGTCAGAGAGAGGGAGACACAGAATCTGAAACAGGATCCAGGCTCTGAGCTGTCAGCACAGAGCCCGACGCGGGGCTTGAACTCACAGACTGTGAGATCATGACCTGAGCCGAAGTCGGATGCTTAACCGACTGAGCCACCCAGGCACCCCCGTAGCCTCACTTCTTACATAGGCACCCAAAGTACCCCTGGCGCCCATCAATTATAGTCATGCTCTCCTCTACTAAAAGGAAATCCTAAAGAACCTCGTATTTTACATAAGCAATTAGCAACAGCTGGCAAGAGAAGCAGAAATATACATGCTTCTGTTTCTATTTTTTTCCCTGGGAATCTGGGACTCCGCTTCAGAATCCTAAAAAACACAGACAGCTCCGAATAACAGAGCACGTGCTGCTCTGAAATTGCAGGCGCTCAGAACAGGGGACACAAAATTAAAGCCCTTTGATTTTAAACAAACATCCCAGCTTCTCTCTAGCCAAATAAGTGCTGTTTTTCCAAACAGACATCGTTCAAATAATTCTGGAATCTTTCTTTGAGGGTTGCCTTCCCCAGTCTGTTTGCACAAAGTGTAAGGGTACTGGGCTTTAGTGCCTCAGGTGGTCCTCAGTCTTTGCCCCTCCTCAAGCTCCCTAACCGGACGACCCTTCTTGTGATCTGGGTGCAACATCCTTCCTCAGGGGTGCCTTCCCATTCTCGGGCAAGCTCCACTCAGAGCACCACTCAGGGTCTTTCCCTCGGTGATATTCATCATAAAGTACTAATAACCGAGAGCTCCGTGCGGGCAGGGATTTTTTTTTTTTTCTTATTCACTGCTGCGTCCCCAGGGTCTCACCCCAGCCCTAGAACACAGTAGGCATCTGATCAATAACTGTTAAAGGAACGGATTGGCTTGTTGGTACCAATCAAACCCATCTTCAAAGGACCAACATTTGTCACCCTTAATAAAAGTAATGGCTGATTTATTAAAAGAACTTCTTGAGGGTCCACCACTGGGCTCATGATTTCATTCCATCTGCACAGTGACTCCGTTATCCCCATTTTATAGATGAGGAAATCGAGTCTCAGAGTAATGAAATAACTTGCCCAAGGCCACACAGTTTGGAGGCTAACTCCAAAGTTGAAACCCATTGTGCTCTCTCATTTTTTTCTTGTTACATTTTTTTTTAATGCTTTGGAAATTTAAAAAATTCAGATATGTACAAAGGAAAAAAAAATCACAAATCTGGATTCCCATTGACCAGAATTTGAACTGATGTCAACATCTTGGTATATTTTCTTCCAATTTTCTTTTTTTCTTTCTCCATCCCCCTTTGTTGAGAACATTCAGAAGACCGTGCTTAAGACCCCAACAACCATTCCTAAAGAAAGGCAGGGTAGAGTTTTGTGCCGTGCAGCAATGCTGGAATTACCTTCCTGCCTCCCAAGATGGCGGCAGGTAGGTCTGGGTGTGTTGTGAAAAAGCCAGACAGCAACACCTACAGGTGCTCCAGAAATGAGTAGAAAGAACTCATGGGGAAGGGGTGACTGACCTGTCCACTTCCTGTGACCCTGGCAATTTGCTTGCCTAGGAAAGAGGAAATCAATGCTCTATTCTTACCAGCCAGTGAGGCTGGTCCCAAGGCCAACTTCCAGGAAGGATACCCAGAGCCATCAGCCCCCTTTAGAGGGCCAGCCTGGCTCCTTCCCTTATTCAGTCCTCACCTTCCTAACTGCGTGTGTTCATGAGAGAAAGAGACAAAGTTGATAACCAATAGATCCATAAGAGTCCCCTCCTGACCCTCCTCACACCCCAGAAGGCAGCATGGCACCTCCACCGTGCCCACCTTGCACTCGGTATCCGCCTGGATCACAGTTTATATTTCCGTGCCTTTGACCTGTTTACACCTCTCTTCCTGTCAGACTGGGAGTTAGCTCCTCAAGGGCAGAGACTGCTTCTTATATATCTTTCTCTCTGCAGTATTTTCCATATAAAGGGTATAAATAGAGGCAGCCAAATACCAGCCGTGGGAGAACGGAAAAAAACACTTGGAATCAGACAGACCTGATTTCAAATTCCAGCTTTGCCACAAATTAGCTGTGTGACTTTGGGCGAGTGGCTTTACCTCTCTGAGCTCCGATTTGCTCATGGATAAAGTGAGGACATAGACTTTAAGTTCGACGAGTGAGGACTAAATGGGTTCATAGATGCTACAGGACCTGGATTCGGGCCTGAGCTTTGCTACAGCCCTAGGGTAAGTCAGTCAACCTCTCTCAAGTCCAATGCCCTTGTCTATAAGAAGCCGGGGTGGGGGGTACCCACCTCACTGAGCTGCTGAGCACTTTAAATAAAAAAAAGAATCCATGTGATAGTACCAGACACACAGTAGGTCTTCAGAGATACATTTTTACCCTGTCTAGACACACTCATGCCTTTCTCTTTAGACTTTGGAATCTCTCAGCTACAACCATGCAGGTGGATGGCATCCGATGCCCGGAGAGCCCAAAACAAACTCTAGAAATGGCCACTGGCAGTTTGACCCAGCCCAGCGGGGCCTCCCATCTGGGGGAGCAAGAGCCTACAAACTCAGCTCTCCACACCAAAGAGTGCACGGTTCCACGGTGCCCATTTCCTCTCCCAGCAGAAAACATCCAGGCGTTTCTATAAAGACAAATCACACTGTCATCCTAAGAGTTGTGAACAATGGTAGAGACAGAGCAAAACGTGCACTCCCGAATCGGGATGTTCCGTGATGTCTATAATTAGAAAAGTCACTCAGAACAGGATGGGACCTTGGGAAGGCTGACAGGGAAGAGGTCCAGACTTGGCTGGAATTTTAAAGAGGGACCGGAGGAAAGGAAGGAAGGGATGGGTGGTCCTGTCCCGGAGAGGACAAGGTGGGATGGAATGAAACGCTTTATCGGTTCAGGTGAAGACCGTCATGCTTGAGTGTAATTTGGAAAAAGCCTTGTCTGCCCAGACCCCGGAAGGGCTGGGGCCCATTTGGCCGATGTCCCCAGGCCTGTGCGAACATCTTCATCAAGTTCTACGGGCGGCTGTCTCCTCAAGCACACGCGAAAACCCAGGCTCTTCCAGGTGGTGGGTGTTTTCCGACCTTCACTGGATCTTCTGCGGGCCCAAGGACCCGAAGGGGGCAGGTAGCAGCTCCAGGACTGTCCTGACAACATATGTGCCATCCGGCTTGGTCATGTAGACAGCCCAGTTGGTGCCAAACTGGAAAAGAGGCAAAGCCAGCGTGAGGGAGGCAGCGTGACCGAGGGGCTGGGACTGACCTGGATTTGAGTCTGGCTCTACCTCTAACGTTCTTCTCTGTGCCTCAGTTTTCTCATCTGTAAAATGGGGATGGCAATACTTATACCTGGCCCAGTGAGCTTGAGGAAGGAGCCACCAAGAGAATGTCTGTCGAGCAGTTAGAAGTGCTCGGCACCTTGTTGAAGGGCAACGAGTGATCTGTTCTATGATGAGAGACCCACCCAGGGCTTCAGAGGAACAACATCTAACCCCCAGGGCCAGACCTGCACCTGCTGTGACAAACAACAGCTAAGATCTGCTTCCTTAAAGCACCTTCTCTTCACAAGCACGAGCAGATGTCTGCCTGCCTCACCACACACCAGATATTGCCCACGTGTGATTTCGCTCTCTGCCCTTGGAGGTAGGTGTTATTATTTTTTTCCTTGAAGTTTATTTATTTATTTTTGAGAGGGAGAGAAAGTGCAAGTAGGGGAGGGGCAGAGAGAGAGAGAGAGAGGGAAAGACGCGGGGCTCGAATCCACGAACTGTGAGATCATGACCTGAGCAGAAGTCAGAAGCTTAAATGACCGGGTTACCCAGGCGTCCCTGGGTAGGTGCTATTACGATTCCCATTTTAGGCTTAGCAGGGCAAAACCAGTAAAGCAAAGATTTTAACCCAAATCTGTCCCCCCACCCCTGGTCTCTCCCACTCCCAGGAGCTACCACCTGCTTGCTGTTTGATCTTGGGCAAATGATTAAACTCCCCGGGGCTCTGTGTCTTGATCTGTGAAATGACTTTGAGAACCGAGGAACGTATCAGGCAGGAAGACGGCTGTGTGTGATGCAGAGCCCCGAAGTTGGCCTCAACAAACTGGGGCTCAGCCTGGCTGTCGTGTTACCATGGGTGGAAGGCACCTGTACACGGTGCCCGGCACACAGTAGGTGCTCAGTTAATGGAAGCCGTTCTTACTGGTTACTTGGCTGTTCGTGACCACTCAGCTCTGCAGCTCTACTGTGCTTCTGTCCAAACCACTACATCATTTCCAGGCACATCAGTCTTCGGCGTTTTGTTTTTGTATGTTCGTTTATTCATTTTGACAGAGCGAGCGAGCAGGGGAGGGGTGGAGAGAGAGGGAGACAGAGAATCCCAAGCAGGCTCCGCACTGTCAGCACACAGCCTGACGCAGGGCCCAAACCTACAAAATCGCGGCATCACGGGCTGAGTCGAAACCCAGAGTCGGACACTTAACTGACTGAGCCACCCAGGAACCCCTGGATTTTTTTTTTTTTTTTTTAATTAATGCTTTAAAGAAGGCGATTTTTCTGCTTGGCAGGTTCTGCCTGAGGATACAGATGAAAGCCGAGCAGTGCGACTCTAAGCGCCAGGTCCCCGGCCCCCGAGCTTCCTCTCTTGTTACTTGCAATTTGGTTTCAGTTTTGCCTCTCCCTCCTTTCGGCTTTTTCATCCGCCTTCTCTCGTTTGCCAACGTCTACTCTGTCTGGAGAAAACAGCAATGAGCAATTGGACCAAGCTGGGGCCTCGGGAGCCAGGGGGCTGGCATCCTGATGTGGTTTCCTTCCATGGCCTTGGACATGACAAGGTGCTGGGCAGCCATTTCTGCCCCTCTATCCGCCCCCCCCCCCGCCCCCAATATGGCAATGACGTCTATATTGTGAACTCCGTGCCTTTATGGTGGCATTTTCAGCTGAATTTGGGAAGGGAGTTCTGCTAACCGTGTCTGGTTGGCAGGCCTGGCAAGAAGCAGAAAGAAAATGGAGATGTTTGCATTGTTCGACACATGCTCTGAAAGCCCAAGGCACAAAGGCAAATGAAAGGGGTTGTTACCCCTCTCTCCCCACCCCCACCCCCCCGGAATTAAACAACTCCAAAGCAGAAGCCCCCGTGAAACAAGCACCATGACATCTCCTCTGTGGCTGAAAAGAATTTGTCTCGTCATAGAACCATAAAGGCAGGGAGGCGGCTGTGAGGAGCATGGACCTTGCGGTCAGCCAGAACTGGCCGTGTGTCCTTCAGCAGGTCATTCTACTCCTCTCAGAAGTGGGGGTAACCACCCACACTTCTCCCATAGGCTGGGGTGGAGATTAAGTGAGATGCTGTATTTAGAAGGACCGATGATGTCACATGGAAGCTCACAAGCCTGTGGGATTCTCCAAGACGGTGGCTTTAACCTTTTGGGACTCTGGGGGACACAGACCTCTTTGAGAGTGTGTGAAAGCTGACAACCCACCCCTCCCCAAAATGTACACACATAAAAAACTTCCACTGAGTCAAGAATAAGAACTCATTGAATCCATTTTGTTTTGTTCTGTTTTGTTTTGTTTTGAGAGGGAAGGAGGGCATGCAGGGGAGGGTCAGAGGGAGAGAGAGACAGAGGATCTTAAAGCAGCCTCCATGCCCAGCTCGGGGCCAGACGTGGGGCTTGATCTCATGAACTGTGAGATCATGACCTGAGCCCAAATCAAGAGTCAGACGCTTAACCAACTGAGCCAGCCTGGCTCTCATTGAATCTACTTTTCAATGAATCTCATTGAATCTACTTTTAACCATTTTTAAGGGTACAATTCAGTTCCATTTGTTCTTGGAATACAATATCCCCTCTGTCCCGTGGCTTATAAGGCCCTGCCCTGTCACCCCTACCCTTTACTTGCCGCGTTCTAGCCTCTTTAGCCCTCTTCCAACTTAATCAAACTCACCAAATGTATGAGCATTAAACTTGCTGGTTCCTTTGCCTGGAAATCTCCTCCTGTGGACCTTTGTCTGCCTCGTTCTTTATTATTTATATCTCTGCTCAAATGTCATGATCTCATGGTTTGTGAGTTCAAGCCCTGCAGTGGGCTCTCTTCTGTCATTGCAGAGCCTACTTTGGATCCTCTGCCTCCCTCTCTCTCTGCCCCTCCCCTGCTCTCACACACACACACACACACACACACACACACACACACACTCTCTCTCTCTCTCTCTCTCTCAAAAATTAATTAAAAACATTAAAAAAAAATAAAGTACTTGTTGGCAAACTATTTTTTCCGTGAAGGGTCAGACAGGAAACATTTTAGGTTCGGCAGCCCACAGGGTTTTGTCAGAACTGTTGAGCTCTGCTGTTGCAGGGCCAAAGCAGCTATAGACAAAATATGAAGAAATGGGCGTGGCTGTGTGCCAATAAAACTTTATTTACAAAAGTAAGGGGTGGGGGGCTGGATTTGTCCTGGGCCAATGTTTGTTGATCTCTGACTCCTTTTTCTGCATTCTCTTCTCCACAGCCCTCATCATTCTCAGAAACTCTGTTTATTTTGCTCCTTCTTTGTTGTCTGTCTGCCTCCTGCACTAGACTGTGAACTATGACGGCAAGGCCTGGCTTGTATTTTCACTGCTGTCTCCCCAGAGCTCGGTCAGGCCTAGCACACAGTAGATACTGACTCAAGTAGCTCCTGGATGAAAGAATAATTTCCAGTGATTCACGCAGGCTTGGGACAGCTTAGATGTCAGCCAACAGGGCAAACAGGACAGCAGCTGTGTGACCTGGCTGGCAGCCTGGCTTTGCTCCCACGGCCTAGAAAGGCAGGGAGGCACCTAGTTAATATTTCCCAGAAAAGAAAGGTGTTTACCTCTCTCATGACTTGCCTACAGGCTCCACATGGTGAGATAAAATCATCCTGGAGGTCACTGCGGGAAAAAGAGAATCAAACATGGGTCAATCTCTCCTGAGGCATGAGGACAATTACTGAAATGCAGACCCTGAGTTCTGGCCTGATGAAGTCAAACCCCGCCAAGCAGTTTCTGATTCACAGATGCATGGTGTCGCAGAGGCTCAGAAGAAACACCAGGTGGTAAGGGTGCCTGGGTGGCGTAGTCGGTTAAGCGTCCGACTTCAGCCAGGTCACGATCTCACGGTCCGTGAGTTCAAGCCCCGCGTCAGGCTCTGGGCTGATGGCTCAGAGCCTGGAGCCTGTTTCCGATTCTGTGTCTCCCTCTCTCTCTGCCCCTCCCCCGTTCATGCTCTGTCTCTCTCTGTCCCAAAAATAAATAAAAAATGTTGAAAAAAAAGCTTTAAAAAAAAGAAACACCAGGTGGCTTTCCACACCTCCAAGGGGGCAAGGCCACGGGCAGGCCCATTGTTTTCATTAGCGCGTTTGGAAAATGTTTAGTGAGCACTTGCTGTCGCCCACACTCCAGAAACACAAGGGTGAAGAAGAATTGGTCTCTGGCCTTCAGGAGATCGCTCAGCCCAGTGGACAAATAGAAAACTAAATGAGTTACCATTTTAAACAAAATGCAATAAGAATGCACAGTGAGAGGAGACAATCCCTGCCTGAGGAACAACAGAGAATATTGTGGAGGAGATGGCGTTCGGTGCGGTCCTTGGAGGAAATGCAGAGTTCATAAATCACCGTTAGTGAGCACCTACTGTGTGCCAAGATCTGTGCCAGGCACTCGATATCCATTTCTTTGAATTCCCAGGACAACCTGAGTGTCAGAAGGACCATTTTACCTGCAAGAAAACAGGTTCAGTGAAACTAAGTAACTAACTGAGGTGGTACTCTGAAGGCCCGCGTTTTTCTGTACTGCAGGCAAAGGAAATAGTATATGCAAAGGCCCTGTGGCATGAAAAAAACGGTGAGTCAAAAGAGAAAAACGGGTTCCTTCGCCTCTCAGAATCGAGGCACCTACAGGCAGTCCTCCAGCTCTGAGCAGGACGAAGGGTGAACTGAACACTAGGAACCACCAAGCCTGCTGGAGGACCAGAGGTTACGCCAGCAGCCACCATCGTCCCTGCTCTTCTAGACGCACAGCTCTGTGAGATCTCTGCAAGAACACTGGGCTTAAATTTTAGTTTTTGGTCAGCTCCTCCTTTCGCTAACCGTGTGTGACTTGAACCAAGTCGTTTTTACCCATCTAACGTGCATTTCTTGGCTTGTAAAACAAGGGAAATCATGTCACCTACTTCCCAGGAATGCTAGAAGGTAAAATGAAATAAAGGGCAGAAAGCACTCTGTAAACTTTAGAGTGTTCTACACATATTGTTATTTCTTGTACTACTAGGCGCTTATTCCTTTACACATATAAGCTCTGTCTGAATTTCAGTGCCTTATGATATACAGATTTATTATATATAACTTATATACCATAACTTAAAATTACATATATTAACAATGATTATCCTTTTACTTGATATGTGCCTAGAATGTCCCAGGCATCCAGCGAAACACTGAAATGCATGATCTCATTTTATTTTTTTTAAGTTATTATTATTACTTTGTAACTTATTTTGGGAGAAACCAAGACAGCATGAGTGGGGGAGGGTCAGAGAGGGAGAAGAGAGAGAAGACAGAGAATCCCAAGCAGGCTCCGCATCACCAGGGCAGCACCCGATGTGGGGCTTGAACTCATGAAACCACGAGATCGTGACCTGAGCCCAAACCAAGAGTCGGGCACTTAACCCCCTGACCCGCCCAGACGCCCCTATTACCTCGTTTTTGTTTTTTTTTTTTAAATTTTTTTTTCAACGTTTATTTATTTTTGGGACAGAGAGAGACAGAGCATGAACGGGGAGGGGCAGAGAGAGAGGGAGACACAGAATCGGAAACAGGCTCCAGGCTCCGAGCCATCAGCCCAGAGCCTGACGCGGGGCTCGAACTCCCGGACCGCGAGATCGTGACCTGGCTGAAGTCGGACGCTCAACCGACTGCGCCACCCAGGCGCCCCTCTATTACCTCGTTTTAATCGACAAATATTTATTGGCACTTCGTACCAGGCACTATCAGGGCTGGGGATACAGCAATGAACAAAATAGACGAAACTCGTTGCACTCAGGAGATTTTCACTAGTGAGAGGAGCCAGACCACAAACCAACCAACCATGTGTCAAGTGGATATGGCCATAGCTGGCATGAACTGCATAAAGCAGCTGAGGGAGGAGAGAGTGATGGGTTGTTATTTTATCCTCATGATAACTCGCTGTCGTATGTGGGATTCCAGTCAAAGAAAGGTTCTGCTCCATGGAAAGGTGGGTCCTCTCTGAGCATGCTCCCAGCTTCAGAACAAAAGCCCATGGGGACGTGAGAGGGTGGGGACCCCTGCCCAGGATGCACACGCAGCCAAAGTAACCCTTGTGATTACCAGGCTCCGGCTCGGGTTTCCATAGGATCTTTGGAGGCTAGATTCTGTGTTATTTTGTTTTACTTCTTTCCACACAGACTGACCATGCCAGACAGGCACGGGAAAGGAAACAAAGACCAATTGGAGAATCTCTGCCTTCAGGGGTCTAGTACTGTCTGGGAAGGGAGATAAAGTCTGCATGTTAGTACTATGACACAGGCAGGCTGTGGTTACGACCGTGGGAGAGGTGCTCTGAGTGAAATTCAACCTCCCTTCCGTGGCCGCTAAGGCCCTATATAATCTGGCCCCTGCCAAGCTCACCACTTCCTTTCTCAATCTTGTGACATGCGTGGCCAGCTTCCCAAAGAACATTTCCCTGGAAAAAGTGACCTGTATTAGGGTCTTCAAGGGGGTGGGGTGAACATGCATTCCAGTGGGAAGCTGGATTTGGCTTAGGCTTAGGAACCAAGATATGGCTTCCAGGCAGCGTAGCTCTGAGAGCTGAGAGAGAGCCTGACCACGACACTGGCTTACCCTTACCTCACACTGCACTTGTCTGTGCCGGGCACTGTGCTGAGGACCTTAGGTCCATCGACTCATTTAATCCCCTAACAACCCCATAAGGTAGGGACTGTGTAGATACTTTTATTGTCCTCACATTATAGATGGTGAAAGACGACATGACCTGCCCAAGGTCACAGAGCTACTAAGTGGCAGAACCAGGATTTGAACCCAGGATCTGTGGACCCTGCCTTTGGTAGTCTTCAGCTTGCAAAAGTAGTTAAGGATAAGGTTAAAACAATAGTTTTATTTTTATTTATTTATTTTTTGAGAGAGAGAGAGAGAGAGAGAGAGAGAGCGCGCGCGCGCCAGAGCATGAGCGGGGGAGGGGCAGAGAGAGGGAGGCACAGAATCGGAAGCAGGCTCCAGGCTCTGAGCTGTCAGCACAGAGCCGGATGCAGGGCTCGAACCCACAAATGGTGAGATCATGACCTGAGCCGAAGTCAGGCGCTTAACCACCTGAGCCGCCTAGGCGTCCCTAAAACAATAGTTTTAATCTGTTGCCTACTCTGGGCCAAGACCTTTACAGAAATCACTTCCCGCATCCTCACAATAGCCCAGTGGGTCAGCATTCCTCTCCTCCTTTCTACAGATGAAAAGCTGAGCTCAGATCCTCAGCGGAGGATGTGAAACCAGGTCTTACTAACCTTGGAGCCAGGGTTTTTAATCATTACTCAACATTCCCTCCTACAGTAAGAATCAAAAGGCTGAAGGAAGACGCATCCCAGAACGTACTGGGTGCAGCAGGACGCCTACCACCTCTCCTGCCCTGTGCTGTGCTGGGCTTGACAGTTTCCCTGCTTTGTGCTGATTCTGGTCACGCGCTGAGGCCATCCTTATCAGACGCGATGGGCTGGAAACCTCTCGGCTTTGATGGCTATGCTGGGGCCCCCATGGGACAAGCTTAACTCCCCATTAGCAGAAGCCCAGCCTGGGCCCCACACTCTGCATTCTGGAGATCTCGAAGGGGCTCTCTGAAACCGTTCACACCCGTCAGTGTTAACGAGGGAGCTGGCACTTTCCACTCATCTTGTAAACCCCACGCTCTCAATTTAACAAGTCATTAGTTCAATAATGACTACATTTCTGGCTCAGGGATGCTGGTGCAGGCTGAATCCCTGGAGCAGAGCAGCTGGGTGGCTAGAAAAATGCAGGTTGTATGTAAATAAGGAGATTTGCTAATCATCGCGATACCCAGTCCTTTTTAAAAGTAGATAATCACCAGGAGAAGGAGCGTTTCATTTAGAACATTCTAAACAGAGCAAGGCCACCGTGCCATTATCCTTTTGTTGACTTTGGCCTCTTTTTCACCCAGAATATCATTATTTTCTTGGATCAGGTTTGGAATTGAGTTACTCTCCCCTCCCCCCTTTTAAATAAAGCGCAATCCACATCCTGAGCTCTGCTCATCTGCACAAAATGTTCCCAGCATGGCCTCATTTATTCCTCCCAAAGCCGAAGGGAAGCCAGGACAGACCTTGGTGACAGGGAGGGCTCTGGGAAGCCGGGACCGACCTTCTCCCTAAGTGCACCTTGCCTTCAGTTACTCAGGAAAATCACCTTCAATAACCTGGTCCGCCTCGGGACCAGACTGAGACAAAGCTATAAAGAAACGGGAGCTTGTTTCTGTCACACGGCCCCTGCTGGCCTTGCGCTGGGTCCCTGCATTTCTGGAGGCTTGCATTTCTGCCAGCAAGGCCCTCTAGTGCCACCACAATGAAGAGGTGCTTCACTCCTAATTCGTAACCCATGCACCTGGATGTCCTGAAAACCAATACTTGGTCAGTCATGCACCCACTTTCTGGGTGGATGAAACATTTCCCGTGGCATTTTCCCTGCATCGTTAATTTGCTAAGAAAACTCTCTCACAGTGCAAAGGTACACGCAAGAGCACCTCACTATTAAATCGGGAGCGTAACAGGCTCCAAATTAGTAAAAGAGCCCACTCACATGCTCAAATCCTGAAGCCACTGAGTGTGGGTCCAGGGCCAACAAGAACTCAATGAGCATCCTGTGAGGGTCTGCACATGGGAACTTGGATATTTATGTTTGGGGCATGTAGAGAGAGTAGGTTAATGCTATTATTGTTCAGCTAGGACCTGGGTTGGACTCTGATTAGTGTGTGAACTGTAACCCGGGTTTACCTGGCTGTCACCCCACCAGCTTGCGTTGGTAGCCTGGTTCTTGGCACTTAGAGGTGGGCAATGCCAAGGGCAGTAGTCAGCTCTCACAGCGAAGGATCCCGGGGCAGCTCAAAGAGAGCAGGGAAGAGTGTTTGATTTCCTGGCACAGCATGGTGCCGTGGAATGAGCCCAGTGAGACTCCAGAGATGTAGTTTGGTCTCAGCTTTGCCACGAATTCCCAGGAAAGTTGCTCAACCTCTCTGGGCCTCAGTTTCTTCATCTGTAAAATGGGGGTAGTGGCCAGGGGGTCTATACCAGGTGATTTTCAGGTCCCTCTGGCTTTAGGCTTCTATGCTGCCTTTCTGTTGTATCTTGTCGGCGTTCTGTTGTCTGTACTGTCACTAGAGCAAAAACCCCACCTGCCCTTGAGTTAGAGGTGCCTCGGTTGTTTACCTGCTCTGTAGGCTCACTGAGGGCAGAGTCCATTTTTGACTTAACTCTTTATCCTCGGCACTGTGTCAAGCCCAACAGTGCCCGGCACGCAGGAAGTACAGAATAAATGCGTTGGATGAATGAACGGATGAATGACACACGCGTGGTGAGTGATGGCCGAATAGATGGATGAATACAGCAGCAGCCTGCCTTTCCCACCACTTACCTAGAGATAGCAATTGCCCTGAACTCCCTGTGCCCTTCTGAGATAGCCTTCTGGATGGCGGTTCGCTCCGCACAGACGCCCATTGGGTAGCAGACGTTTTCAATGTTGCACCCTGAGAAGAGAGGAGGGAACCAATGACACTTCCAGCAGAACCACTTCCCATGGCAGGGGTTGAGTAAGAGGCTTACCCCATTCCAACGCAGGGAGGGACCTGTTACTCAGAGTGGGCGGTTTGACAGGAAGTGCTGGGACACTGGTGCCATGGCCCTTCCCAGAACACCCACCCTTGTCACTCACCCAATGCCTCCGTCTTGAAGCACAGCCCAGGAGCAGGGGCAGAAGAGCAAAGCAGATGAACCTAGCCCCATCACTCCAGCAAACGTCAAGGCCAAGGGAGATACTGAGCCTTAAGATGAGCAGAGCCCCCAGCCCCAGATCTAAGAGACAGAAGGTTCAACGATTGGGCCTGTGCAAAATTTTCGGTGCTGTTGACCAGCTATCAGAGTTCAACCGAGTTCCCTGTGAATTGTGTTGCAAAACGAACTGTCAAAACCAACAAACTAACAAACAAGGAACTCCCAAGCTTTGCAAAAGGTGTCTGTGATTGCACAAGCCTTAGGGCAATCCCAGCCCTCCAATGGGAGGCATGCTGCTAAGGTAGCAGAGTTCACAGCAAGGGATTTCTCCCCAGTGTCCCTTTCAGGAGCATTCCTGGGGGACAAGGGGCAAAGCCTATTCCCAATGACATAAAACATTGGCATACTCAGATTGGCTGACTAACAAACTCCCCATTTTCAGGGAAGTAAGGCCGTGAACAAATGCCCACAGAAGCTGGGCTTCCCCCTGACTATTGAGATGTGCTCTTTATAGCTTGTCTTTCTCTCTGAGGCAGAGATATTGTTCCCCAGGATGTATTTTCTTCTTCCTTTAAGTAGTACGAGTGACCCCCTATTCCAATATGGCTGCTTCACATGGCCACTCAGCTACAGACCGTATTTCCTAGACTCCTCTGCAGCATGGTATCGCTACGTGACTAAGTTTTGGTCAATGGCATGTGGCCCGCAGTGAGGTGGGAAACTTCTGGATCACATTTTTTGTAAAGAGGTTGATTGATTGCCCTTTACTTCCTTTCTTTTACCCTCTACAGGCTGGGATGAGGTGGGACAGCTCTGACCATGTGGTTTATGATCATAGGGATGGAGAAGCCACAAGAGAGAAGGCACTAGGGACCCTGGTCCAACTCATGGATAGAGCAGAGTTGAGATGCCTATTTGCCCTGGCACAACTGCCTACTCTGAGTTGTTATGTGAGAGAAGAGAATTCTGCCATATTGGACTCACTGTATTTGGGGATTTTTGTTATAGCAGCTTTACCTACATCTAACTGATAGACAAATTTGGACTCAGAGTGAGATGCGGCTTCAATAAAAAAACATCTAAAACACATGGACTTGGGCAATACAGATGTGGCAAGGTGGAGAGCTGTTGGCTTTGTTACTCTGTGGCAGACGATTTGGTAAAGCCCCACCCTGCAATAACCTGGAGGGCAGATTATGTTACTCATTGCCTACCAATGGGATCTTTCTACCTGACAATGGGAACAGCCCTGTGGCAAAGAGCTGATGAAGGGTGTCACCTTCTCAGTCTATTGTTTCAAGGCTTAAGGCAGTCACCATCAAAAGGACCCAGGGATGGGCCAGGCAGGGAAGCCAGTCAGTAAAAAAAAGGGGAGTTGGCAGGTTTAAGAACTATGCCGAGAAAGGATCTTTGGGTGTGGTACTCCAGTTCAGAAATGACTGGAAGCAAACAGACCAGAAGGTTTCTAAGTTTTAGATAGAATTGGCTAGCCAGAGAAGCCAAAAGTCTGCCCTGTTAAACCCTGTGATCGTTCAGTCCCTAAAGAAACTCCTGGGTCCCCCAAACCCTACCATCAGAAGTGAGCTGACAGCTGTGTGCCCCCAAGGAGGTCACTCTCTCCAAAACCCACTTCAGATGTGTGGCCAATGACAGGATAATCAGGGAAGAAGCTCCCAGAGGGCAGAGCCTGGGTCCCCAGTGGACAGGGACAAGGGGTTGCCGCCAGGGCAGAAAGGGAAGGCAGAGTGCATGCCAGGGTGGGGAGTCTTCTCACAAGAACTGCCTGGCAAGTTTGATAACTGCACAGACTGGTGGCTACCGTGTGTGCCCTGTTCTTCTTCTTTTCCCTTTGGGAAAGTTGGTGACTATTACTCTGTCCTACTCTTTCCTGTTCCCACTCCACACTGAATATTGTGGGAATGTGAAGTGAGGTGTGGGTGATTACCTTTTAGTTTTGGGGCCAGTAGGCCAGGGGGGCCACATCTACACCTGAGGAAGGAGACCGCTCCGCCTCGAGATCCTGCTCTTAGTGCTGAATGCAGTGACTGAGTGGGACTTTGGGCTGCCTCCCTTAGGAAGGTGGTAAGTGGGTCCTACGTGTGAAAGGATGTACACAGATACTTACAGGCCACAGCCAGTTCTGTGGCAAAGACTAACTGTTCCCAAGGTTCACTCTCCCACTAGAAGCCACTGGAGTTGACTGGGGCACATGACTACCCAGCCGGCGACCACATTTCCCGGCCTCCCTGGAAACTTCGTGTAGCCTTGTAGTTTTAGCCAACAAGATATGAATGGCAGTAACGGGTACAACTTCCAGATGATATTTTTGTGGGGACAGTGCTTGCTCCCCCGCTTCATCTTTCCCTTTCCCAGGCTCTGGAACATGGATGTGCCAGTTTTGAACATGTGGATGTGGACACCACTCTAACGATGGCAGGACATCAAGACAGAAGGAATTTGATCTCCTGAACAACTGTGTGGAACACAGCAGAGCAGAACAGTCCGTTTGCCCAGCACTGCAGCCCACCCCCTGGTCTGTTAGATGAAAGAAGTAGGCAGCCATCGTGTTCCAGTCACTGTGTATATTTTGTTTCATCACCTGCGACTGTTCCTTACCTATGGCACTCCCTTTTTCTAAGTGATTATGCAGGATTTTGTTTCTCCTGAATTCACCAAATTTGGAAATTGTTTGATCCTTATCTCCTCATATATTTTGCCCACAGAATTTTCTGTCCTTGCATTATTTACATGGATGTTCTTTGGAGGGGTTCGATTAATCATTTGATCCATTAAACATCATCATGGTTCTCAGGATCGCAGGTGTTCATGTCCAACTGATGGCGAAGAATGGATGTCACTAGAGGGCCTGCCCCACCCTGCCATCCCCTGGGCTGGGTACCTCTGCTGCAAGTGTCTTGCTAGGACAGGATAAATGTGTTCACTAACAGTGGCACATGGACTGGCTGTGGGGTGTTAGGTGGGAACAGGTTTGGAATTCCACTTTTGGGAAGAAGGACGGGTGTCCCTACTGGGCACCAGAGGGTAGATGACAGCGAGCATCTATTGTTTCCTCAATGTAGCACCTTTCTCCTTCCCCGCCCCAGGGGAACGACCCTCACCTATGTTCTCAACGCGTCTTACATACGGGAGCCGCCATCTTATTCTCGTGTGACTCTTTCTTATTGGTCTAAGGTGCGTGCCTGACCCGCGCTGGGCCAATCAGAGTTGAGCACCAAACTCACTGGGCCAATCAGAGCCGGGCACCTTACCCACACTGAACCAGTCAGAATTCTCTGTGCCGGAACTTCCGTTTCTCTCGCAGACTGAGAGAGTGGGCTTGAGACCTGCTGGTGGCCTGGTTTCCATTCATTACGGAGGAGACCATTAGGAGACAATGAAATGGACACACTAAAGAATGGATGAAAGATGAGATGAGAGAGACTGGAAAAGGGTCTGGCTTGGCGCAGTTGCCCCCGAAGGCCCGGCTACGCGCCAGCTCTTCCCCAACTTTTAGGAGCCAATACTCCCTCCTTTTGTCTAAACTAGTTAGCGGGCGGGACTGTTGTTTACAACCACACAGATGTCAGTTAATACAGTTGGGAGACGGGACCAAGAGCTATCAGGGAGTTGCAACCCTGAAAGTAATGATTGAGACATTTATTGAACGCCACATGTTTTTGACTTCCACCAAGCTCTGTTCACATTCCTATATGAGTCACTATAGCCGGGATAACCGGCCCTCTCTCAGGGTCAACGGAAGTTAAATGAATAAATGAATACGCCTCTTTTGCTCCCCACCGAGTCTCCCCGGCCAGGTTCCTTGATGCCTGCCTGAAATGACTTCCTTTAAACATGCCCTTGCCTGCCCTGGCCCACTGTTGCTGACTTTGGCCTGGCTGCATTTGACTTCTGCCTCTCCCAGGGTAAGATCCTTGCTAACTTTGTCCCGACACTTCATTACCTGTCTTGGCAACCATCCCAGCCCTGCCTTGTCCCTCAGGGACACTTTCCCTGTTAAGCGGGATTCACATAAATCTTGGGTTTCACAGAAGGCTAGTCCCTCAGGACAATTGTCTGTGGCTGCATTTGAAATTCAGAATGGCCTCATCGAGAGAAATTTCCCTTAACTGTGTCTAAAAATGTCAAAGGGCCAGAGCCCACTCACCCACCCCACTGCCCAAACAGAGTTTTGCAGAAAGAGCCCCTGGGTTCTCTTCCGCCCCTGGGACCCTTTGCCCCACTGGCCCTGAGAATTTGGGCAAGAGACTAAAGCCTCCTCAAGACTCAGTATCCTCATTTGTAAAATGAAAGCGATGGCGCCTTCCTCGGAGAACTCGCGCGAGGAGGAGTTGAGACCACCCACGTAAAGCAATTAGCACAAAGCGTGGCGCAGACTAAGTGCTCGGCAGTGGCCCAGCTGCTGCTACTAACGGCACAAAAGTCCAGCTTTTTGGACTTTCTAGGCCTGTGTGGCTGAGCTTCTACTCCTGCTGGATAAGGTGTGACAGCGGCCCTGCCTCTGTCCTTCAGGCACTTTGAAATCCTTTCCACAACGACAAGGTCCTACCTAATCTGGTGCCAACCTGCCTACCTCCTAGACTTCATCTCCTTTTGCCCTTGAGGCCTGCCGGCCTTCCAACTGTTCTCCAAGGATGCCAAGCGCCCTCCTGGCACATGGCATTTGCTCCGGCTGTTCCCACTGCCTGGAACTCTTTTCCCCTACATGCCTATGGTTCACCCTACTCCTGTCTCTGCT